ATGTTGCTGTGCAAGAAGGTGGGACAGCTGCAGGTCGAGGCTCTGCCTGCCGTTGTACCTCTCTGAGGGTGCTGGGAAAGGGTCTGGCACTCACCGTGCTGGAATGGACATGGCACTACTTGCCCAGGAGGCCTCCGAGGGTGAAGACACGGTCAGGGCAGGCTCCCAACAGTTCAGGCATCAGCACTGATCTCCCAGACGCAGACCTGCACTCAGGCCCAGTTTGAGGAAGTGGAAGATGGGTGATGTGAACTGCTGCACATGAGCCCGAGCCCCGCGGTGCGGTCCAAAGGCACTGCAGTGCAGGCCACCTCCTCACTTCCACATCTAGGCTGCTCCGACCACTGTGAAATCCTGCCCTTCCTGGTCAACTCCAAGAGTCTCCTCAGGAGCTGGGCACAGTGGCATGTACCTGTAGTCCCAGCTACTCTGAAGGCCAGGGCGGGAGGATTGCTTGAGCCCAGGAGTTCAAGGCTTGCAGTAAGCTGTGATCGCACCTGTGAAAAGCCACTGCACTCCAGCCTGGGCGACATATTAGGACACCAGCTCAAAAAACAAACACAAGCCTTTCTGGAAGCTCTCCTCATCCCTGCCCTCTCCCAGCTTGCGGGGGAGCCTCTCCAGGATGGAGACTGGGTCTTACCGTATTAGATACAAGGCAGTGCCTGGTATGCCAGCATCCTGCCTTGGGACGGTGGAACGATATGCTGCAAAGCCCCCAAGCTCCACAGTCCCCCAAGCTCCACCCCGGGATGGAAACGCTGCCTATGGTATAAAAGCAATGTATTTATGCTAAGGCAAATAAGTTAAACACAAAAGATTATGTCCTGTATGATTCCGTTTATAGGAAACAGAGCCAGGGCAAAACTGTAGTGGTTCCCTGAGGCCTGTGGTCAGGGGAGGGGAGTGAGGGCACAGGAACCTAAGCCAGCATCTTAGGGTGAGGGGACTGATCTGTATCTTGATTGTGGTGGGGATTATACAACTGTGTATAATGACCAAAACTTGTCACTGTATACTTAAAACTGGTTAATATATCATAGATTTGATTTTTGATTGTGTATATAATCTTAATAAACAAAAGAAAAAATTTAAAAGGCAGTACAGTTGGCCCTCCATATCCATGGGTTCCACATCTGTGCATTCAACCAGACAAAAAATATTCAGAAAAAATAACCATACAACAAAAGTAATAAAAACAAAAATACAATATAAAAAGTATTTACACTGTATTAGGTATTATAAGTAATCTAGAAATGATTTTAAGTACATGAAGGATACGCATAGGTTCTGTGCATATGCTACACCATTTTACATAAGGGACCTGAGCATCCACAGATGTTGGTATCCATGGGGGGTCCTGAAGCCTGTCTCCCTGGATGCTGAGGAACAACCGTATATAAGTTTTAGTTTTCTTACCTGAAAAATGAAGGTAATGATCCGTGCGTCTCAGGGGTGTGGATTAACTGAAAGGTATCACACGCAGTGCTGCCGCTCAATGCCTGGTGCACCATAGGCTTCAGGTGGTGACAACTGCTAAGAGAGAAACAAGAGAGGAGACTGCACCTACCCCATGAGAGGTGTCTTGGCTTGGAGAGGAGAATGTGTGCTTTAGAGCAAGCTGGATGAGGGTTCCGCTCCTGTCTGCCCCACTAGTTAGCTCTGTGACCTTGGGTGGACCTGTTTACTTCCGTGCTGATTAACCCTCCAGAACATGGGGGTGACAATAACCACCCTGTCAGATGTCATAATGAGAGTGCTTTATTAATAAGATCTGCATTTCATTGAATATTTGGCCTTTGCCATGGGTAATATTAATACTTTTTCACCACCTAACGTAGGAGCTACCTTCATGCTCAGTTTTAGAGATGGGAAGCAGAGGCTCAGAAAAGATAATTAGCTTGCCTTAGATTGATAGATCACAGGGGAGTGCACCCACCCCCCACACACACAAGTCCATAGGTCACAGAAGAGCACACGCACACAACCGATTAGTGGGTAGAGCTAGGTTTCAACCAGTTTGTATAACTCCAAAGCCCATCCCTTTGCCTGGCACAAAGCCACACAGCCACACACTGTGAATGTCACTTGCATTATGGTAATGAATGGTAGGGGCCAGAAGAGATTAGCAGGGACATTGGTGCCACCAGCACTAGAAGGACATACACCTGAAAATTGGTCACTGGTGCTCATACTCCCTGGGTCATGTGGATAGTTCTGCTGCTTTTAAAATCTGAAGTTCATTTAGATTTTAATTGTTCGGGATAAGAATGCTGGTCTATAAGAAAATATCCCATAACTCTTACCCTTGCACCTCTCTCTAGGTATTAATTGACTGGATTAATGATGTGTTGGTTGGAGAAAGAATCATCGTGAAAGACTTGGCTGAAGATTTATATGATGGACAAGTCCTGCAGAAGCTTTTCGGTAGGAGGAGAATTGAGTGTTGCAGTGGATGTCTTTGACCTGTAGCTGGATGGACCACCTGCTCCTAGCTGTAGGGTTGCGCTCAGTTCACAGCAGCTTACCTGGAAAGGGACTATGAATGTGTAGACTGTGAGATAACAGATCCGTGAAGGCTTTAGATGTCCTCTTAGAATCTGTTGTTTCACATGAATGAATCGCAGACAGAATCCTGATGATTTGATGGGCCTGTCCTTCTAGCAGCCAAGGGTCATCAGTTGGGTAAATGGAAAGACCCCACCGTATAGCTGGAAAACACACCTCGTCCTCTCCAGAAAATTGTGCACTTGTGGCCTTTGTTGGTGTATTTACATGTGGGGGTGCGAGTATGCATTTTTAGACTTTTGTAATCTATGGACCTGTGTGTGTGTTCCTCCCTGGGTCACTTCACAGCTGTTCCTGTGAAAATGTAAGGCCAAAGGGAGGAGAAAGGAGAATTCAGAGAAAATCTTAGTGTTGAAAGGACAAATTCGGCTTAAATGAAGTGGGTTTCACCTCACTGTTCCTGATTTTGATTCTGACCCAAACCTCCCCCTCACATTCAAGACTCCAGTTCTTAGCTGCCTGCTAGGTACCTTTACCTGGGGGCATCTTAGACTGAATTCATCCACTTTTCTAAAGCTGTTTCTTTCCCTCTGAGTTAATAGAATCCCCTCCCCTCCTTCTTGCGACCTGCCCCCATGTATATGGGGGGTCACCTAGGCCCATTTCTTCTTGCTCAAAAACCTCTTCTGAATCCATCCTCTCTGCCATTGTCACTTATCTGAACCATTGAAAACCTTCCAAACTCACCACCACCGTATTCCCTACCCAGCTAGCCGAGGAACCATTCTAAATCACAAGTCCAGTCTTGCCAGCACTTCCTTCTAACTCTCAGTGGCTCTCTCCTGCCGGACAGAGTCCACACCCCTTGGCACGGCATTCAGAACATTTTGTCATCCGACCCCCAGCTGTCTTTTCAGCCTCACCTCCGGCCTCTCCCACACATGTGGCTCACGCAGTGTGGTAACACGTGTAAAGTGCTCAGAATAGTGCCTGACACATAGTAAATGCCCAGTACATGCCTGTCATCATTGTTGTTGGTTTTACTGTTTTTATGTGTATATATCATTGCTGCATTATTACACAGGCCATGCGTATCAACACCCCTGTACCTTTGCCCACGCTATTCTCAGTCATATACTCTTCTGTGTTTCTCCCCCTCTCTGTACATATGAGGGAATATATATATTTACGCACACGCGTATATGTATATATACATGCCACATAAGACTTTCCATGTTGCTTGTAGCCATTTACATAAATGTACATGGGCTTCTCAAAGGCAAGAACCACGTCTTATGGATTTTCCCAGGTTTCACCAGCACATGTTGCCTAGCACTTAATGAATGGCTAATATAAATTCTAGTAATTTCTAGGAAGCTAAACTGATTTGGTACTGAGACATCAATATTAATGAGTGTTGATATTTGAAGGTTTGTAAACTCCAACTGAATACAGAGAGAAAATGAAAAAGGTTTGGCACACGTACGTGTGGATAAGCCGGGAGCCTCACTGAACATCCCCCAAGTGACTACGGCATTTAACTTCTCCAGCAGATTTCTAGTTAGGACCTGAAACTGTTGAAATGGTCTATTCTAATCTTTCAAAGCAAAGGTGGAATGTGGCCATGGGGTAATGGAACATGGTCATGGAGTAATCTTGCCTCTGGGAACGGTTACAAAACAGCCCAGTGTCATATTGTATGTGACGCCAAGTCAGGCATCACATACGATCAAATTAGATTATTTCCAGTCTCAACCTTCATGCTGAAAAGGTGATTCACTACAGAGGTGATGCTTCTTTTGTAAACTTAAGTTTAGAGCCTAAACTTAAAGGTCTAAGGCTGGACATACACATTCAAAACCTGTAGGCAGGACACCCAGGTGGGCAGAACCAGTTTGCAGTAAAAATATGTATCAGGAGCTCCTGGGAGGGATCAGTCTGGAGGCAGAGTTTTGAGTGACCCCTCTGACTTTGAGTTCCCCTGGACCATTTTTCTTATCTCTGATCACGTTAACCTCAATGACATGGTTAAGGTAGCATCTACCAGATTTCTTCGCTGTAAAGTTACTGTTTTTCTCTCTTTGTAATTAATTTATTTGGGGGGAGCTACTTTGAGACCATGCAAATACCCTGTTTCTCCTTAAACTTCTCCCACCAGTTTTAGCATCCACTGGTGGAACACGTCTGCACAATTGTTGTGGTAGTGTCCAATAGTGATTGTCTCTTTATTCCTTCTGCATTTATTAATTGGAATTCTGCTAAAAGGAAGAGTTGTCATTCCCATTTATTTATTCAGTTGTTTAATTATATCACTGTGGACATAAGGATATTTATTTATACTCTGGGTTTTAACCCAGTACTTTGCATTTTTGCTTCATCTACTTCTAGCTTTGGCCATTGTTGGGTTGGCTCCTGGACAGTTGTTTTTTTCTGCTCCATATTTTCTTTCTCAGCACTTCCTTACCTTCTGACACCATAAGATATGCAGGACCATCCTGTACTTTCCTTACCCCAGTCCTGGAATCACCCACTCTTCCAAGGAGTCCTGATTTCTTTTATTAGAGAATGATATTTAGATATCAAGATTTGGGCATATTAGTGAGTATTTTTAACTTGCTCTCTGCAGCATAAATAATCACACATATGTAGCTAGGCAGAGCGCTCTCACCTGGTGGTACTAAGATGAATCAGGCATGGTCATTTCCAGAAATTCAGCTTCCAACTTTGCTAGGGCTCAAGCCTCCTGAATACTGAGTTGGTTGGGCAAGGAGAGCTGGAGGAGGTTGAGCTTGACATTAGTAAACTATGAAACATTGGCACTTAGAAGGTGATGGAAATGGCATAGGGGCCTCCAGTAGGCAAAGAGCACACACCTCGCAGACATCAGGTAAGGATATGGAACCCAGGAAGCCATGCTGACGACACTGTAGAGCAAAGACTCAGAACCTAGAAGCAGAAGGGAGCAAGATGCTGAGGCAGTGTCCTTGGCAGAGGGTTGTGTGTGTTTCATAGTTGTGGTGTGAACCTGAACAGGTGGGCGCCCTTGAGATGCCAGGTGGCCTCGGCTGACAAGGACTGGCTGGGTGTTCTCTGATCGTGAGCTCTGTGGGGGGCAGCAGTATGCCTGGCTCACCTCTGTGTGGCCACATGCTTCTTGCTCACAGCAGTGTCTGGTCTGCTGGCAGGAAAATAGCCCTTCTCAGAGTCCCCAGGCATTTCTGGTAGGTTCTCTTGGAACAGCCTCTCCCTAGTCCTTCTTTCTTAGCGGCCTAACCCAGCTGCCCTATTGCTGCCTGTTTTCTGAGTCTTTCCACCTGCCCTGGCAGCAGATCTTAGTTTAGGTTTTCCTAAAAGCAGATACTGAGACAAGGACTTGGGTAGAGGAAGCTTATGGGAGGTGATTTTAGAAAGTACAACCAACCAAGTGGGGAAAGTTAAGAGGGGAAGAGAGAGATGCCGATTGAGTATGTTAATAAGAGCAGAGCTCTGTTTCAACCAGGGCCCGTAGCTGGGCTCTCTGAGAAACCATCAAACCATTTAGACAACACATCTCAAAATCACCTTCCCAAGACAGGGAGGCAAGGGCATTTGTGCTATGGCTCGTATTGCCCTGTGCTTGAGGTTTGCCTGTGCAGGGAATAAAAACCTCCAGGTTGTTTTCCTGTGGAGTCAGAGGAGAGAGCCTCAGGACAGAGAGGGCCATCGGTGTGGGGGGGGCTGCCTGCAGCTGCACGTGGGCCAGGAGCTCTGGGAAGGAGTGTCAGCATCATCCAGGGAGACCAGAAGGTACAGCCACCTCTGCTGTGGGCTGTTCCTCCTGACAGTGGCTCTTTCTCTGCACTGTTAGTGTCACTGTTAGGGAAACATCAGATGCTGCCCACTCTGGCCCCTTTCACACCACAGAGCAAAGTTTCCTAGCCCCGTTGGGCCGGGCGCGGTGGCTCACGCCTGTAATCCTAGCTCTCTGGGAGGCCGAAGAGGGCGGATTGTTTGAGCTCAGGAGTTCGAAACCAGCCTGAGCAAGAGCGAGACCCCGTCTCTACTAAAAATAG